AGATGTATCCCCCTCTTTGCACACAAATCCTCAGCTCCCCACAACATTTCAATTAGTTCCCATCCAAGCATCTAGGTGCTTGAAAAAGCATTCTTCACAAATTTTAAAGCATTTTTTGGCAATTTTTTGGTATAATTTTATTTTTTTAAAGGTTTGGCAACCCTCCAAGGTACTGTTCAGCCACTTTGAAGGGATTGCCTACAGCTTTCACCATCTCCTAGAAGAAAAAAATAAAGAGAAAAAAGGCCGTAGCAGTCCAAAGCAGCTTGTGAGCGCAGTAAAGGGTAGGAAAAGCCAACGCAAGCTGCCCTTGGGTGCTGCTTGAACACTATGGAGAGGGGCAGCTTGCACTGGCAATGGACTCTATGGCTAATTCCCAGTAATCACAATGGGGTCATTCTTCTGGGTTCACATGACACAACAGCTCAATGTGGGTACAACAGCCCCTAGGCCAGCCCATGGGTTGTTTGGGTGGCTTGTTACGCTTGGGCAAGCCACCCTGAGAAAACTGATTCAGCTTTGCAAGACACAACAATAGCATGACAGGTTTTTTATGTTGTACAAATATCTTGTCCCATAGCACACAAAGTTATTCTGCAAAAATGCCATCATGTTGATCCGATCACTAACATTCTGGATCCATCAACGGTAAGAAAAAGTGATGTTTTGTTTATTTTTTTTATTTTTATTTATTAAAGCATTTTTATGCCGCCCCATTCGCCCAAGCCTCGGGGCAGCTTACAACAATAAGTTTACTGTGTGAAGATAATTATGGCAATTTTCTCAGCTACAGGGCATCGTTAGGGTTGTACAAGGAGTAAAACAAGCATACTTTGCACTTTTAGAAAGAAGAAACCCCCAAAGAGCGAAGTCCAGCAGGATTTACTTGGAAGTAAGCTTGCAACTGAGTCCCTGACTCTATGCATGTTTACTCAGCAAACAGCAAAAAGGCCCTACTCCCACTAAAGTGTCATAGCTTAAAAATTGCTTAGGTTTTGCTGGATCATGCTACTTTTTATTAATTTCTAAGTAACTATGCAATGCAAAACATTTCACAAGAAGCCAAGAAACAAGAAGTCATTTTAAGGAAGATTCTTGCCCAGAATTTGAACACATTACTGGCAACATCAGCCAGAAACTGAAAGGAAGGAGAAAAAGCATTACCCTGTGAAATCATTCTTCCCCAAAAGTACTCTTTACTTATTAATACTTAACCAGAAGCTTTCAAACAGAAATATTTTGGTTAGTTCTGTCGGGACCCAGAGAACCAATGGCAGGAATAATAGGGAAGATCAGATCACCTTGAACTTCTGTGGTTTATTAGTGAGATCTCCCAGGCCCCAGCAGTTACAACAGCACACTACCGGGTAGACGTTCCAGCCTCCACAAAGTACCAGAAGAAAATGTACAAAGAGTGTTATAGCCTCTCAGTCACGTACACAGGTACAGAGTATTTGGCTTCAGATGACATTTTGGTGGCATCTAGATGACTTCATACACAAAACAATACGGAAAATTGGCCAGCGATGCATACAATAGGATGGAAAATATCACTGATTGACATGTCAGTTCAGTAAATTCATAACACTTGAACTGCCTTCTATGTCTGTCTAGCATGTAAATACAGCAGCTTCTGAAATCATTCAGAAAAACCTGTCCGACTACTTTGGGGAAGGATTGGCACTTTGTAACTGGTTTCTGTGCTTCTGATTGGTTGCACACTCTGTCCACGCGCAGCCACTTAACTAGATACTTTTTACTGTGGCTGCGAACTCCTGAATTGATTGAAGAGGTACTAAATATCTCCTTTCTTGTTATAAAAGTATCAGATGCTCCCAGCTGAACAGAACATGGTATTTCCCCGAGTTTCCTCTGGGCAAAGTTCTTTTCCTCAATACATCTACGCTCTTTCTCAAAACGGGTGCTGAGCACAACTCTAAACCCCATACCAAACACACCACACAGCATTTTATTCACATCAATAAGCTTTATCTGCATTTCTTCCCTAACAATTCCAATCGGTATGTGAAACTCAGTGCCTATAATCTCCTTTCTTGACCCTTAGGTTTTGTTTTTATTGATTTAAAGCCTATTTTTAAACAAATAAGGAAATTACCTAAACAAAGGAATAATATTTAATAAAAGCAGCTTCAAAGACAAAAATGCAGCAGAAGAATAACTACTGAGACATCCTTTTTAAAAAGTATGAAATCTCACTACAATAACACTACCTTTACTGGAAACTGGGTGGTGCTGTAGCGCATGCACACTTTAAAGAGGCTATTCTGTAATATGCAAATGACAGCCAAAAAGCCGCTGTCCCTCATGTACATCTGTCATGTCTCCAATGGCACAAGGAGAGGAAAGGGGGCTTCAATAGAGAAATAAAAGCCACAAGCAAGTTCATATATATGGAGGCATTTCTGAAGATATTCTGACTCCAGAGCACTTTGTACTTTAAAGCTCAGAATCAAACCCCTTAAATTGAGCCTGAAAACAAATCAACAGCAAATGAAACTGATGCATATTATTGTACAAACTCCTAACCTGATACAGGAGCCTGGTGGCCCCATTCCAGAACAGCTGAAGTTTTCTGACTACCTTTAAGGCAACTCCATGCATTACAGTAGTCAGGCTTAGAGCTGATTAGGACATTAACTGGATAACTGGGTCCACGTCAGGAAAGGATGCAGTAGCAAACTAGTTGGGAGTTGCTAGAAAACAGTCCTCTCCACATACATCCTCCACCTGAATGTTCAGGAGCAGCACTGGATCCAGTTGTACATAGGAAGTTCTCTTTGTGTTCACCCATCTCTTCCAGTATCACCATGCTGTACAAGGCAATGGTTCTCCTTTGTCTGACAGCTCTCCAGTGAAAGACCCAGCAATACCAACCTGGTCACACTCCCCCCCATCTCTCTCTCAGCACAGGTCATCATGCAGGTCAACCAATGCTGCTTAATTGCCAAAACCTGGCCTAGCTGAAATAGATCCATGTAATAATCCAGGTGATCCATTTCATCCAAATGCACCAGGAGCTGGCCGCTACCACACATTCAAGAACCTTGCCCAGGAAAGGGATTCACTACCTGCTAAAATTATTAAGATATTCTAAGTCCAGAGAGGGTTTCTTTAGGAGTGGCCTCATCACCCCCCATTTCAGGTGGTATGGGACCACTCTCTCTCATAAGGATACAGTGATCACTGCCATGGCCCAGCTGGCTGGCCCTTCCCTGCTAACTTTTGCTAGACAGTATAATTGTGGGTGCACAAACCTGTCCAAGCACTTTGTCAATATCCTTGAGCTGTATGAACTGGAACTGGTGCAAGGAAACTTGACCAGGTTATGCTCTATATTTCCTTGCCTGATTCAGTCGTTTTAACCTTGAGTCTAAGACCTGGTAGATACAAAAGATTTTATCCTGGATAAAATTCGAGCAAATGTAATGCAGCCAGCCTCAGATGACTCCAAAATGCATCTTGAGCCAGCATGTAATAGGCCCTGGATGACTCTAAAGCGCTCTGCTGGGCAGGAAAAACAAGAATGACTAGTGCCATGAGATATTATTTCTTTGGCACTCTCACTGCCCTCAAACCTACTTCATTATAGGTACATAATATCAGGGCTTGACTGCATCCTTCAGAAGTTTTTGGCCATCTGCACTCAAGCTGTCCCGTTTTGTTTCATTGCTCTCAGCTCCAGGCACACCACAGAGGGAATCAACAGGAGCAAGCAACTGCCCATATCATCTGTGTGTACCAGGTGAATCCCCCCCAAGAGCCCTCTGGAAACCATAAAGATCCATCAGCCTTCAGAAACAGACCATTTGCATAAGTTCTCTTCTCCTTACCCCCACAGATGAGGAAAATCGCTTTTAAGTCTAAATCTCAGCAGGATGTGGTCTGATCATGACAAAGGAACCAATTAGAAATGTCACATGAGGGCTGTAATCCTAAACATTCATTCCTGGAAGTAAAACCTATTACTTAATGGTAACTTCTCTTTAGGTAACCTGATTTCAGTTTGACTGTGGTTATTTATGTATCTCATCAAAGCTATTGCAAAGATCTGCTTGGGGATTTCCTGCAGACACACTGGTGCTACCCAGAGTTCTGGTGCGGAAGAAAAAGGTCGAATAGATGAGAAGCTCAGAGAGTCATATACTTAAGCATAACCATTCCAGCAGCAGCCGGATCAATAACCCCGCTTTGGCACAGAACAGCCGCCTGCGGTGTAGAATCAGGCTTTAAAAAAAAAAAAAAAAGATGCAGCAGCAATGAAAACAAGGACAGGGTGTTCTACGAGCAATGTGCGGTGTGTGGGATCCTAGAATGGAAGCAGCCCCACCTGGTGTGCAAAACGCGCACACCACGATTATTTCATTCAAGCAAGCCGCTGTATTTTTCGAGCTTTCAGCAGGGCGCAGATTCTCCGGTGAGCGCCGAATTCCTCGGAGCGAATCGGGGGGAGGAAGGACCATTTTCCTAGCAGTGGGGGAGGCTAAAGGTAAAAGGGACGCGGATGCTCCTTCCCCCCCCGAACTGAGATTTGCTCCCAAGAAATGTGCATACGGTTTCTCTGTTAAAGGTGCAGGCTCTCTTCCCAACCCCTGCACAGGATATTTATGCAAAAAGTAAGGGGCTGGTGGAAATAATACCAAAAGGTGTGTCCGCTTATCTCTTCTTTCTCTCCTCTTCTCAACCGCTTCCCCATCTGCTTTAAAATCACTTTGTTACTTGCTGCCACTGTATGAACTTCGGGCAAGACGCTTGTCGGCCAATCAGAGAACATTGTGCCCGGAAATTGCTGTGTCCTTTGCTCCGGTGGCCAACCGACAACGCTCCCGAAGCAGCGCCGGGGGCTCGTGCTATTCCGGAGAGTAAGCGCCGGATCTGGGAGGGACTGGGCTGAATAGGGGCATCTAAGCGAGGGAGGGGCGGGGGACAGAAGTGGTGGGACTGGATCTAGCTTGAATTTTGGCGGTTTCAGGGGCTGGTTGCAGGAATAGGAATAGGAATGGTTGCTGCTTGGCTGTAGTCAGGATTAAGACTCTAGGCAAGGCGGGACAACATGGTGCACGTGCGGGGAAGTGTAGCGTGGCTTGCAAGGATTGCTAAAGGTAGGCGGCGTGTTGCTCGAAGGTCAGCGACACGCGAAGGAAAGGAGGGACGGCGTCCATCAGAATGTGGGAGGGAATGTAAAAGCCAAGGACGTGTGGAGGGTGTAAGTTGGAGAGAGGGGATTGGAGGACTGCTTTTGCATTTTAGCTCTCCAGACCTAAAGCAAATCACAGGTATCTTTCATTGCAACCTGTGCAGGTAACCTGAGGTTCCCAAAGTACAGTGGTACCTTGGCTCAGGAACTTAATCCGTTCCACAACTCTGGTCACGACCCGAATTGGTCGTGAGCCAAGTCAAATTTCCCCGTAAGGTTCAATGTAAATAAGGTTAATCCGTTCTGTAACCATTTTTTAAATCACAAAAATTTGAAACAAAGTGACAAAGAACAACAAAGATTGCGGCCATCCCCCCCCCCCCCCCCGCCAGCATGACTGCGATCACGTCTGTCTTCCTTGCAGGAGCACAACCATAGCCATAGACGAGCATGATAATGGGCGTGCTCGGGCAGGGAGGCCGGGTGTGAATGCAGCCGTCTCCCCCCCCCCAAGCATGATTGCGGCTGTCTCTCCTCCCCCACCTCCAGCACAACCGCAATCACACTTGTGCAGAGAAGACTGGCACGATTGCAGTTGTCACCCAATGCCGAGTTCATGACCCGAGGCAAAATCTTATGAAATTTCTGTTTGCGACTGGATTTGGGCATGAACTGAGGTGTTTGTGAGCCAAGGTACCACTCTAGTTGTCCTCTTGCCCTCTGCTAACGTTGTATTACTGCTATAAATTATGATCGCCAGTGTGCTGCTGAACTAGTTTTTCTCTACTAACTGCAACAGTATGGTGAAAAGCAATCAGTGGGAAAAGTGAAAGTGAAACGATTTTAATTGCAATCTCAGTCACCAATAGTGAAAGCTCTTGAAGAGTTTGGATCCCTCCTCATGGGCCTGCCACCCCAAAACCTACTATGGTGTCTTCCAAATATGTTGAACTACACTTCTCAGCAAATGGCCATGCTGGCTGGGGAGTCTCTCACTGGGCCTGGTCAGACCATCTTGTACTCTTTTAGAATAATTATCTTTTCCCACTCCTATTACAAGACATTGTTTAGACTAAATTCCCAGTCTGTATCCATCTATACAGTTCTATCTTCAAAACAAATCAGGACTGTTCCCTGCCCCATGGCTAGATAAGATGTCATTTTGGTATTTTTTTTCAATTTCTTCTCATTATGTCTTTAGTGGATGTATATTCTCAAAAGTTATGTCTTTACGAGAACAGTGCATTTTAATTTCAGGCCTTAGTTTGTGGAAGAAATAATCCAGCTGAAATATATTTGGGGTATTTGCATCCACAGGTTGGATCCAGACTGACAAATTCCACTGATTTGAGTGGATGTACTGTATGTATAATTGCGCCTGGCCTCAATTCAATGCTTGTTATTGTTAAAATTTGCTGTTTCTATGTAGGTCAAAATGGGATTCATCTTTTCAAAATCTATGAATGAAAACCTAAAGACTCAACAAGAGTTCATGCTTATGAACTCTAGACTTCAGGTTGGTGTTTACATTGCAGGAAATTTACCAATATAACACTTTTAGAAATAATTACTCTGGAGCTTTATAAAGTGGTTGCTGTATGATTTTGATCATTTACATTTTAAAGCATTTTGAGAATGTCTGTGGTTATTTGAGACTTCAGGCCTGTTCTGTCCATAGGCTTCAGGGTAATTTGCAGTGGGTAATTTATTGTTTTTGCAAACACAGTAAAGTACAGTCACACGCCTCTTGACTGTTCCATATTTTGTTGTGTTATAACCTGGAGTTGAAATAAGTTTAATTGACATTATTACCGTGTGATGTGCACAAGATGTTCAACATTGTGGAATTGCAAAATGTATTTTATTGTGGCACACAAGTTAAGTAAACAAAAATTTCTGTAAGGCATTGTATGAAAATAAGGCTGCATTTTTATGAACTGGTAAAATATTTATATAATAGTCATTAAATTGTAGGTGTGGCAAATCACTACTGTTCTTTCATCACAGGAAATCTGTGAAACCACTTTTAAGTGACTTTTCCACTTGTCTACATGTACAAATATTACATGATGTTTGTGCTGCTTTCCAGCCATAATGCAGAATATAACTTTCCTGTTAAAGGAGAAAGTCATACAACTTTGAGCTTGAATGGCCTGTTGTATAAGATTCAGTGGCACAGAGATAGAAGTGCAGAAGATACAACTGAGAGAACATTTGTGTCCTTTCAAAATAATCTTGATAATTATTTACTATAATTGTATCCTGCAAGGAAATCAAAGTGCTGTGGTGGCTTTGGAAGAACCATGCCATTTAAGACAGGCTAAGAGAGACAGGGAGAAAATGACATTTACTGTGAGCTTTTTAATTAAGCACTAATTTGATGTTTCACGGGATTGTTGGGAAACTCTTGAAAGAAGCATAAGATAGAAATGTAGTAAGTAGTGGAATGCAAATATAACAAGCTCATTTGTATCACTGGGACTATTCTCAGTATGTGTTTAGATTGAACCCAATGACAATTGCTAATTTTGATTAGAGTAAGTCTCTGAATGCAACTTTTAAGTGGCATGATTTGCATATTACTCAAGTTATTTTCAGCTATGCATTGTTTATCTCTGCATAATTAAGGAGGGGTGATTTGTTAATATTCACACAAGCTTTTCACATGGATTATGGCTGAACATACTAGATGGTGCTGCAACTAGGATGGAAGATATGCCCTTCTTAGTTGTTTCCTGTTTCCTGGCTCTCTGAATCATGTCATAGTAATTACACTGGTTTCACACATAGCTGCTAGCTTCATCTGACATTAGACAGTGACATTGTGATAACTTCTAATGGTAGGGAATTATGTGTTTGACATGAGAGAGTGTAACCTGTGAAATTTAAAACTTCTTATCTGAGGAAATGAGAATATGTCATCTGCAGTTAGTAGTACCTCATAGATGACTGACAAAAATGAAGGAACATGAATACAAATTTAGATAATACCTCTATTGTTTATCCTCAAGAGAAGATTTGGAAGGTGGAGGAGAAATTATGGACATTCAAAAGGGATTATAGGTATCTTTTCAATGGCACAACACCAGTGTTGGATCCAACCCACAAACACTATGGGCCTAGTTATACTGTATAGGACAGGATATGGTATTATACATAAAGATTCAGTGTGCAATGACTTTGTTGGATATTGCCCCATAGCTCTGCAGGTATGTACAAACCATTGTATTTCTGTATCTTGTTGTGGATTAATGGTTATGGTTGCTATAATAATTGAGGATATGGGTAGTCTGGTAATCTATTAACAATAATCTGTAATCTAATAGGATGACAAGATGGCTACAAGACTAGGTTCTGGACCATAAAAGCAATTTGCAATTGAGATACAATAATCTCAAAGAACATCCAAGCTCTGAGACTGGCTAGGATCATGTAGAAGTGTAATTTGTATTAGTTAATGATTACATCTTTTTTATATATTTCTGTGACTATTTTGAATCCTAGTACAGCAGTAGTAATTCCAAATAATTGTCATTACAAGTACACACACACAACCAGGTAAATATGTACATGTACATTATAGTTCTAAATTTTTAATACCTGTGATCACAGCCACATTCCTTTGTATTCTTTAGAAAAGAGTGGCTGTGTTCATCTGATGCAAGAAAAGTTATAGCATGCAATATCATAGAACAGAGTTGGACCCAATGGCCTTCTCGGCCCCTTCCAACTCGCTGCTGTTGCAGGACACCAATTTACACCATTGCAGTCAGATGGCTGTCCAGATGAATGTACTTTCTCCAGAAAAATGTCACTAAGGAAGGAAGGACATCCAGTTTGACAAAATCTAGCATATTTTATACCACCTTTATTTGGAAATATGGTTCTTTACATGGGAGAGATTCCTAGTTGCCAGCATAATCAAAAACTATCATTTCACTCACTCACTGCCCCTTTCTGTCATATCCATCTACAGGAAGAGAATATTGAAGGATCTCCATTCATTTGGCAGTAGATAACCCAATTCTTGCACTATTAATTGTTTGACAGACATTATGGCTAGCAATTTGGACTCGTCTGTTCAGAGTCAGACACTGTCAAGTTTTATCAATCTTTAAAAACTCGCCTACTTGAATTTAACATTCCTTACCTGACCACTCACATTTTCTGCCAAGGATATTGAGTTATCCTGTCCACCTATCTAAAGCACAAAATGCTACGGCACCCGGAGCATGGCTGACTCTTGTTACACTTTAAGCTAATTAGAGAGGTTCACCATTTGAAATCCTCATGATGAAAGTCATCCGAAGGAAGATTAAAGTAGAAAAATGTTTTGTTCAGTACTTGAAACAATTGCACTGTATTCAAGAATCCAGTACCACTTTGACATATTAGAACATGTTGCTATTTTTCACAAATTATTGTGCCAATATGTAGCTCTTACGTAGGTGCTGACAAGTGTCCTGTAGGAAACCTATTCAAGTACTAAAAATTGTTTTCTCTTTACATCCAGCTGGAAAGACAACTCCTCATGCAGAATCAAATGCGAGAGAGACAGATGGCTATGCAGATTGCTTGGACACGAGAGTTTCTCAAGTATTTTGGAACATTTTTTGGACTTGCAGCTGTGGGCGTAACAGTTGGGTATGCAACCCCCCCCCCCGAGCACAGCAAATGAGATATAATTCTTTATTGTGCTTTCTTTTTTTCCCCTATTGTGTTCACTCTACACTAACTAACAAATACAAACCCACTTATTGGGTATGTAGATCATGTGTGGTGTAAGTATTCAGTTTATAGAAAAATTGAAGAAAACAATGAGAATTTTAAAAATGGTTCAAACCCTAACAATATAGCACCTGCATTCTATTAGCTGTTTCATTTCACAGCAGTGCCAACCACGGAACTAGCATCCACCCTCACCTGTTAAAATACCTCATCTGCATTGTGATCATTGAGATTGTAATCTGACATTTTCAATAAAGAGGTCCAGGACAGATCCTTTGCAAAAACTGAGTAATCATGTCACATTGCTTGTGCTATAATCTGAACATTTGGAAAGAACCCCATAGCTAACCATTTAGCTGAAGCATAGACTTGCTAATTCATATCTGATGGTCAGTGAATTAGCTGACCAGCTGACCATAGTAGGAAGGTTCGCATGACACCACAAGCAATGGTGGTTTTTTCTACCTTTGTGGGTCTGCTGTGTCATTTGAACCCAGTCAATATTTCATGGTATGCTTGGCTTTGAGAAAACACAAACAGAAACAATGTTCTGTGGTTTCTTGGTGCCATGATTTACTAGTTGTGTCATCCAAACTGGAATGCATGACCAGTTGTGGTACTGAGGCCAGAACCATAGAGCTGCTTGGCAAGAACCGGCCATTGCTACCCTTGTCAAGCAGCTAACCAGAGAGTACCACTGGCGGCTGCCATTTGGTGCAACTGCCAGAGGCGTCATCCTACTCTACTGCCCTAAGGTTGTTCTTTGGGACAAGAGCAGATGATCAGCTGTTTGGCGCTGAGGGAAGAGCACTGCTCCGTTTATTCCCCTGCTGCTGCCCCCACATGAACAGGAGTGGCAAGAGGCTGCTGTGCGGTGGGCCTTATGCAGCTCTTCAGTCACCAGGGTGAAGCTCCTGTGCCTGCAGAGGAGCCATCAGCAAGGGCAAGATTCTGCTAGGCAGCACTGTGGAAAGGAGCAGCACCACCCAACTGATTTTCACCCTACTCCTCCCACAAGCTCCTTGTGGGCAGGAATGAGCTAGCAGCAGAGGCGAGATGTGGCTGGGTGGCGGCGGCGGCAGTGCCCAGTTGTTCCACTTCTTGCTTTGACTTGCGAGAGGGGTGTCTCCAACCCAAGTAAGCCAGAGCAAAGAAGGGGGTCACCAGTGCTGCCGCCCCCCGCTGCATCATGCCCTGCTGCTGACACAAGGGCGGCAACACTGTCGCAGCAAGCAGTCCTCAGCTGGACACTGCTCCCGGGACCCGGCTGCTTCTCTCCTGGCTGCTTTCACGAGGGGAGTGGCGTCCACTGCAGCCTGTGATTTGGCATCGTTGCCGCCAACCAGCTGCGTCTTGCCCGGCTGCTAACATGAGAGGGGCAACATGGGGGATTTTGTCTTTCAGGCACAACCATTGGAAAAAAACCTGCAGGGTTGGTTGTCACGATACAGGAACTCAACTGGTGTGATGACTCTAAGCACTACTAACAGAAATTTATTTAATCAGCAGAAACTTAGGAACATATAACCTTGCTTTATTTCTCTCACTCACTTGTACACTTACTCTAAATTGGAATGAAAACTAAAGAACTTGATGTGTGTGTGTGTGTTTTAAATGAGATGAATATAAATATTTCCATATGTATAAAATAATAAATGCACACACACACAAAATAGTATGAGGCAGGTATAAAAATAGCTCATGGCTAACCAAAGCCAAGGCTAACAGATGCATATTCAATAAATACCTAAAACATGCCAGTCTTAAGGCCTGGCATATCTTGAAGGAGAGATCGTTTGACATATAATCTATCTTGTGTTCACATTAAGAAATCATAATATTAGGATAATACCTAACATATATTATCATTTTGGTTGAAGCTTTTGAATATTATTTACAAGTCTTTTTTTATAATAAACAGGGCAGTTAAAAAAAAGAAGCCACAGCTGTTCCTTCCAATGATTCCCTTAAGTTTTATACTTGCCTATCAGTATGATATGGGCTATGGATCACTTCTACAAAGAATGAAAAGTAAGTATTTGTATATACCTTAAATCTGGAGCTGACAATATAATGCTTAAGGCTGCCAATGCCCCTAAAACCATTCAATTGGAATCTGTCAAGTTGCCCAACCCTTTCTGAGGATTCCGTCCCCCTTATAATTCCTTACTGGTGGTTGAAATTGTTTCAGAGCAAAATTCTGTCCTCCAACCAGTGCCATCTTTATTTTCCCATATGGGCCAGAGATGATATTTAGGTAATTAAGAGCTATGTAGCTGCAGGCCTAGGTGTCATTCTGCAGTGTGTTCAGCCATTGGGGGGAGGGGTGGACCCAGGTATTACTGCCTAGTAAGGTTGGGATGGGGGTGTCGGTGTGGAGCTGAGCATGATAGGCAGGGTACTTAGAAGGTTAAAAGGGACTAGGGAAGCCAAGGGTTGGGAAAAGCCAGTGAGGCTCTGAGTAAGATAGTAGAAAATTGGAAGAGCAGTAGCAAAGTCAGTGGAGAGTTGAGAAGGCCAGCAGGAAGGGTAGCAAGAGGAAGGGAGTAACTAGAAAAGCTTAGCAGGGAATATTAGAGAAGTTAGTTGAAAACTTGGGGTAACTTTGAAAGCCAGGGTGGAGAGGAGGTTAAGGAGGAAAGTGGAAAGCAGCCTTTGGGGGATGTGGCTGGGAAGTGAATTTGGAGGTTGGGCGGAAGGAGAGATTGTATGTGCCTCAAGCAATAGATGAACAGAATATCTGTGAATGGATGGGGTATACATGTGTGTCAGAAAGATGAGGTGATGTGTATTTGTATGTTTGTGTTTTAGGAGGATGAACCTAAAGGAGAGGGGAGTGTCTACCTTTATGGGTGTGAACAGTTGGGCTTTTATGTATTGGGATGGAAATTATTGTGGGGGGGGGCATGTAATCTAATGTTACCGGACTTAGAGGTGATTTGTAGCAATTGGTTTCTTTGTGTTTTGTCTGAGCAGAATTTTCAATTTCAATTCCATTTCAGTTCAGAATTTGAGCAGGTTCAAAAGAGTTTTTATACTCTGAGGATCAGACTCCCACACCCTTGTTGGGTACACTTGAGTATATGGGCAAGTTACATGTTTTTTAGATTCCCCAGTTGGCTATCTGTGAAATGGGATTTTATTTCAGTAGTAAATGTTGTTATTGGCCACACCTCATGACACCATATATGGTTCCCCAATGGCATCCATAGTGTGATGGTGCCCACACTTTCTCAAACATCCAGATGTGTAGATAGGCTCAAAAAGATTAGGTTTCCTGTCTTAAATAAAGCAGAGTTAATATCAGTTTAAATGCAAATAGATATACACACATCTACTTTTTCCTTCAAGGTGAAGCGGAGAACATACTTGACACAGAGAATACTATGCTTGACATGCCAAAAGGACCCATCACGTTTGACGCCCTTGAAAAAGCCAGAAGAGCACAGAGCAAGTTTTTTATTGAAAAATAATTTTGTCACAAAGCACTACACCAAGACTAAAAATTGCTATTTCTAATCATATTGTTGATCCAGCAGTGTATGCATGGAACCATTTAAAGTAGCTAATGAAAGAGAAGTAAGGATACTAAATCTATATTCTTATTCTCTTAAAATTTTGTCCGTTAATAGAAGAATAAGAATATAGTGTCAAGTTTTATGAGTGTGAACAGTGGGGCTTTTATGTATTGGGATGGAAATTATTGGCGGGGGGGGGGATCTAATGTTACCGGAATTAGAGGTGATTTGTAGCAATTGGCTTCTTCGTGTTTTGTTTGAGCAGAATTTTGTGGGTTCAAAAGAGTGTTTTTATGCTCTGAGGATCAGACCCTCCCCCACCCTTGCTGCGTACACTTGAGTTCATGAACAAGTTGTCTATTTCAGTAGTAAATAATGTTATTGGCCACACTACAGAACACCAGTTATATGGTTCCTCCATGGCATCCATATTGTGATGGTGCCCACACTTTCTAAGCTACTTTTTAGCTAAAGTAGCTAACATCAGCTTCTTGGCAAGAAAGATAAGTAAGGATGCTAAATCTATATCCTTATTCTCCTATTGGTGGGCAAAATTGTAAATTTTTGTGTACATTTAACAATGTTTTAGGGTTTTTTTGTTAATTGGGCTAATCATGGACAGTTCCTGAAAGTGCAGAGAAGAAATGTGCATGCATAGCACCCTAGCTGGCTCAGAGCAGAGATTTTGAAAAATATTGTATAAATGTAATGATTTGTAAAATAAAACTGATTTAATACCAATAATCGCTCAATTGATTGTTTTTCCATGCTACTTGTTGTCTTACACTGAAATACAATGTGTATCAACTTGAGATGAAGCCCCAGAGTTTAATTGCACTTTTTCAAGTAAGTGTGTAAACACTCACAGGCTTTCTTGTCAGTAATCATTCCTGTAATATTTAGCATGAAATCCCATAAATCCTTAGTCTTTGTTGCAAAATGGAAACCAGTGTGGTGTGGCGATTAAGAACGCAGGTCTGGGACTCAGGCAATCTGCGTTTTAGTCCCCACTCAGCCATGGAGCCAACTGGGTGACTTTGGGCCAGTCACAGACTCTCAGCCCAGCCTACCTCACAGGGTGGGGTTTTTGCGGGGGATAAGACTGAGAGCAGGAGAAGAATTACATAAGCCACCTTGAGTTCCTTAGATGGAAAAAGGCAGGATATATAATAAAAATAGTTCAAAGTGTACCTTGCCATTTTCTCATACTTTGCACATACAAGCACAGACTGAGAGCAGCAACAGGAGGAGAATGATGTAAGCTGCTCTGAGTTCTTCAAAAGAATAACACAGGATAGACATCTAATACATAAATGAAGTATTAATATAGTGGCTCTTAAATGACTGATGATTTTGTTGAATCCTATGGGCGTGTGAAGGAGAGGTAAGATGTGAAGTTCAGGAATTTCATGCTGAACTTTTTCTTTGCAGCTTCTTCGTTCAAGAATGGCCATCCTGCAGTCCATAGCAGAGTATCTTCATTCACGGTAAAGGGTGGAGCTAATGGTTCAGCTAATGGTTTCTTAGTGCAGTCATTTCTAACATCAGATTTGTGGCCATTTATTCTTTTGCGCAGAGTGGTTGGTTTGTCCGATGTAAAATTCAGTTGGGCATTGATGCCAATTGATGGGGTGTATCACACTGGAAGATGGGCAGGTATTATGCACCCCTAATATTGTAGATGGTGTTATTAGGCCCCATAATAGTATTGCTAGAGTGAGGAGCACCATTACCACAGCAGCAAAACAGCTGGTGTGGCTCTCTGGAGAGAACCTGCCCATGAGAACCTGCTCATGAGAACTTGCTCTTTCTGGACTTCACACACCTCGTGTGTGAAGTCTCCAGAATGACAACTGCAGTGATGACTCCAGAGAGCCACGTCAGCCTCGGTTGCTGCAGGAAAGCACCCAGGAGGGTTCACGGCAGAGCCTCTCTGGTGTCTCACTCCGAGGGGTCCGAGGGGTGCGGCGTTGGGCAGGCAGCTACTCCAGAGAGCAGCACTGACCACTTTCCAGCTGCAATATTTGCTTCCGCCAGAGGGAAGTGGCATTGCCCAGGATGGGCTGGAGGGCAAAGTAACTTCAAGACAAGATTTCAGTATGAAACTGCTGCAGTACAGTTCATCAAGAGAGTCCACTTCCTCTGCTGTGGTAAAGACAGATGGGGCCAAACACAAAGCAATTCTAGAGAGAAGCCTGTTACATTCTGTTTCCTTGTCATTCTTCTGGCAAGACAATGACCTAACCATACAAAGTATCACGAGAGTGGTTTAAAAGCAAATACCTGGATGCCTTAGGATAGCCCAGACTTTAAGAGTTGTGGCAAGACTTGAAAGACTGGTGGCCATCCATCCTGACAGATCTGGAGCCATTTTTCTAGGAAGAATGTGCAAATATTGTAGGATTCACATGTCCAAAGCTGAAAAAGACTCAAGAAGACCTGCGGCTGTAATTCCTGCCAAAGTTGCTTCTATGAAGTACAGTAGTACCTTGGCTCACGAACTTAATCCGTTCCAGGACTCTGGTCGTGACCCAAATTGGTTGTGAGCCAAGTTAAATTTCCCCATAAGGTTCAATGTAAATAAGGTTAATCTGTTCTGTTACCATTTTTTAAATGAGAAAAATGTGAAACAAAGTGACAACAACAAAGATTGCGGCCATTCCCTGCCCCCCCACAAGCACAAGCGCAGACATCTCCCAGCCCCCCCCCCCAGCACAACCGAGATCGCGCCCGTCATCCCAGCGCGCTGGGGGGTGGGGGGGAGAGACGGGCATGATTGAAGGCGCACTGGGGGAGGGAGAGATGGTGCACTGGGGGTGGGGAGAGGGCAGCGATTGCAGTTCCGTTCGTGCAGGGAAGGCGTGCCTGATCAAAGGCACGCTGCTGCAGGAAAGACAGGTGGAATCTCAGCCATCTCCCCCGCGGCTCTGCTTTGCTGCTCTCGTCTTTCCTGCAGCAGCATGCCTCTGATCACACACGCCTTCCCTGCACAAACGGAACTGTGATCATGGCCATCTCCCCACTCAGGGCTGTGGGGGGGGGGGGGGGGGGGGGGGGGAGATGGCTGTGATCTTGGTCGCCACCCAAAGCTGTGTTCGCAACCCAAGTCAAATTTTTTCAGAAATTTTTGTTTGTGACCCAATTTGTTCGTGACCCAAGGCGTTCGTGAGCCAAGGTACCACTGTACTGAATTGGTTAAATATTTCTGCAACTAAAAAGTGCCAGCTTGATTTTGTTTACTTGTGTGCCATAATAAAACTATTTTGCACCTTCACAGTGTGGAATATCTTGTGTATATCAACAGGTAGCAATGCTAATTGAATTCATTTCCTCATCAGGCTCCACAGAACAAAATGTGGAAAGGGGTGTGTAGGGGGGATATGTTTGCAAAACACTACGTGTTTTTGCCTGCTTATTGAGGAAAAAATACATCTGATTAGGCTGACTGTCCACAAAGTGTTGTTCCATAATGTATTAGTGCATTAAGTGCCATAACACTGTTCACTACTCCAGTGGAAATCGGAATGAAAAATGTCCAGTTATCAGAAGAAAGTATGCAGAATCTATACTCTAAATCAGGGGTGGGCAATTAATTTTCCTATGGGGCCACATGAGAAACTTTGACAGTTGTTAAGGGCCGGACCAATACACTTACAGCTCTGCTCAATATATAGCTCTATAAAAACAGTAAATGAAACATTACAGTGATACAATGAAAATGTGGAGCACAGAACAACACTATTTAATGAATATTCACAAAAACATTAACATTACATGAAAAGCAATAAATTCAATTCAATTTAGCAGATCCTTCAAAATAAAAGCAGTGCAGTTGTATTGCTTGCATCCATATTACGACGATATATATTTGCATTGACTTTTACTTTGCCAGTGACCTCATGCGGGCCAGTCAGGGTCAGCCATCGGGCCGGATGTGGCCCGCAGGCCGTACAATGCCCAGGTCTGCTCTAAATGTTACTTTCTGTTCTATTGTTTTGTAACTCAGAAGGATTTATGATCTCAAACCAGTTTGGGTGGAGGACAGACAATGCACTATGTCAGGTGAAAAATCTTAGGCCCAGGACTGAACCCTCTAGAGTTCCTCAGGTGGCCATTTGCTCTTCCCTTTGCTCCAATTGGTCATTGGCGGCTTCCTGGCTTCTGTGCTATCCCCGCACCAGTCTAAAAGATTGAAAAGCCTCTCCTAAAGCTTAGTTGTTTGTAGTAAGAGCTTAAACTACCACATGCTGCTAATTTCAAAAATGCAGCGCCACCGCCTTTGTCCTTGTACCTCTTTGCCTTCGACTTTGCTCGGAAAGTGTTCTGCAAAATTGTGGCTTCCCACCCATGGGCTAGACGGGCCACAACGGTCCTACATTCATGGCTACCCTTTCCTTCATTTAGAATTCCAACTCTTGTCCCTCATTGTGTTTCCATCTATGTTATCGATTGACAGTAATCAGCCACCATTTAATATATCTTTCACATCTGCCTTTTATGATTTGCAAAATGGCAGAATTCTAATATGGTTTCCCAGACTCTGAGTGTGCAGCAGCACTGAATGAGAGCAGAGTAGATGCCCAAGTGAAATAAGATGGTCATTAAGGGCAACCATCTAAGAGTGATGATGGGGGAACAGAACAAGAGAGTATCAGCTTGTCTGTAAGGTGGTGCTGTGTGCAGTAGAATTTCCTACAGGTTTTCTTGCAATATTTGCAAAGAGTGCAGCTGGCTGCTCAAGTGATACTCAAGTTTCTTTTTCAGTAAGTAGGGCACAGTACTATCAATCACCAAACAGAGATAATAACCTGAGAGAAACACAATACTGACCTTGGGAACAGATGTTCCCAAGTCATGGCTATTTTACTGCATGGCTTTTCTTACATATCCTTGTGAGGGAGAATAGCTTAGAGATTAATGTGACCAGCAATGCCTACAAATTAAATATTTGGTGCTCTATTTCACAAGCACCTTGGCTTGTTGTTTCCTTCCTGTAGTAGAATGAAGGGTTGTCTATTTTCCATATTTATCCACTCTTTCTCTCAATTTTTATTTTCATTTGCCTGCCTTCCCATTTGGGGACTTCCCCATACCTTATCCAGTATTTCAATGTGTGGACTGGTTGCAAGTGACTTTGCCACTGGTGTGTCACTGATCACTGTTGGTGAGGGAAAAAGGATTATATGTGTGTGCATTGAAGTCTGTAGTTGATAGTGATGTGTAATCTCAATAATGCTGTTTTTAAGTTATTTTATGACAGTAAAGGGTAAGAGAAGTAAAAAGTCATCCTTCACTATCAATAGGATTTTGCGAATACTCCCAGGTTTGGAGGGTTACGGGAAGCCACATTTGATTGTGCTGCTAGTACCACAGAAAATGGCAATAAGACATTTTGTCACAAACAATAAATAAATGCACCCCACTTAGGAAAACAGTAGAGTTGCAACTCAATGCATACTAACATTGGAATAAAACCCACTGAACACAGTGCAGTTTTTTGAATAGCATTGGATCTGCCAGCTAACAAGTTTGACCTTTTGCCTAGTAGATACAGAAGGCCAATTCTTCTAAGTTAGTTTTTGCATAAGCAAAACTAGAGATAGAATTTAAATACTGGCCTTGCATCTGTACAATCAAGATGTCAGGCTTTGCCAAACTATGTAAACAGTAATACACTTCTTTTGCTGGTCATTGTGAACTGTGCTACAAATTTAGTGTGCTGTATTAGTCCTTTGCAGAGTAGCATTGAAATGAGTAAGATCTAAGTTAGCCACAACTACCTTCAGTTGCCTTCATTTCAATAAGTCCTCACTAGAGACATGATCCTATGCTGGGAATTGTAGGACTTTTTCTGCCTAAGAAGCATAGGATTGCACTGTAGGTGGTCTTAGGCACCACTCACACTCACAGCCTCACTCTTCCATCTCCAATTTGGAAATAATGATATGGAGCTGCAAGGATCACAATTTGCCTCTACAAGAAAGTATAAGCGGAAAGTATAAATCTGACCTCAGAAATGACAATATTAAAAACAAGTGGCAGAAGGCTTCGGTCTCTTAGGACACTCTGTTCCAGGTCTTTAATGTGGGCACTGGAGACAGGGGGACTTCAAAGATTAGAGCAATAAACTCCTGAATTAGAAGTTCAATCCTGTTGCCGGCGGGTGGAATAGATATAAAGGATTTTCATCCAACTATGTATGTTCATTAGCTTATTTAGTTAAATAAATTGTAGGCTGTTCATTACTGTCATCTCTGGATGGCTTACAAAATTATTTCAATCTTCAGTAAAATAAGATAGGTTAACTATTCCACACTGAGCATTACTTAAATAAGTCTTGCACAATTAAAATTACTTTATGTTAAAATATTGCCCAAATAAAAAGGTCTTGACCTGGCACTGAAAAAGATACAAGGACTGTGCCAAACGGACCTCTCTAGGGAGTGCATTCCATAGTCGGGGCGCCACCACAGAGAAGGCCCTCCTCCTAGTACTCTGTCTCCTGACCTCTTTCCAAGAGGGTTCCCGGAGGAGGGCCTCTGCTGCCGATCTTAGGAGGCGGGAGGGCATGCAGGGAAAAAGGCGTTCCTTTAGGTATCCTGGTCGCAAGCCGTTTAGGGCTTTATAGGTAATAACCAGCTTACCTGCAGTCAGAGTTTTATGTTACTCAACAGGCCTCTATCCCACCAGTCCAACCATTGGTGGGATTGCTTTGGGTGGTAGATGCTGGGAGGTGGCAAAAATGTTTTCAAAAAGAGAGCTGTGTATCACAAGGCCTGCCCCAGACCCCATAAGCTAACCTGCTACTTGGGTAACAATGTTGTCCTAGCCCCTCTGTTAAAGTCTCCATGTACACAAGCAGAGGAAAGCATGATCTTTTCCTTCTAGTAGCTGTCAAAATTTCTTGGGCCTTCCACACTACATGTTCATGACTGACAATGTGATTTGTCAGTCCCTTCCATTAATTTCCTTCTAACCTCACTTTACAATGCTTCCCCTCACCCACCATTGTTCTTGTTGCATACCTTCAACTTCTCTTCAACTTATGATGACCCTGTGAATGAATGCCTGCAAAATGTCCTGTCCTTGACAGCCCTGCTCAGTTCTTGTGCCCACAGTACAACAGCTTCAGTTTTGTTATTTTTGCTTCCAGGAAAAGTTCTGGCTTGACCTAGGACCCATTTGTTGACTAGGACCTCTTCCATCAGGAGGTTTGGGCTGCAGAGCCCATGCTGAGGGCACCCAGCTCTACCTCTCATTTGCGTCTGCTCCAGGTGAGGCGGTGGCTGTACTGAACCGGTGTCTGGCTGAGGTAATGGGCTGGATGAGAGCCAATAAACTGAGCCTCAATCCAGATAAGATGGAAGTCCTGTTGGTGGGCAGTCCGGTTCTCTAGGTAGGTGATTTTGATCCTGTCCTGGACAGGGTATTACTCCCTCTAAAGGACAGGGTGCGCAGCTTGAGAGTACTCCTTGACCCAGAGCTGTCACTGGAGTTCCAGGTGGCAGTGGTGGCAAGGAGTGCTTTCCTACAACTTCGACTGATCCATCAGCTGTGTCCTTACCTGGATGAGCACTCCCTAGCAACAGTGATACATGCTCTGGTAACTTCCTACTTGGATTACTGCAACGTGCTCTAACTGGGGCTGCCCTTGAAAATGGTCTGGATACTGCAACTGGTACAGAATAGAGCTGCCAGGAGGCTGACGGGGACCGGCCATTATTCTCACATAACACCGGTCCTCTACCAGCTCCACTGGCTTCCAGTTGAAGTCCAGGCCCAATTCAAGGTGCTGGTTTTGACCTATAAAGCCCTTAACAGCTTGGCACCAGGATTCCTGAAGGAACGTCTCCTTCTTTATATGCCCTCACATCCCTTAAAATCTATGGGAGAAGCCCTGCTCCAGGAACCCTCTCTAAGAGAGGTAAAAAGGTCATCAATTCAGAGAAGGGCCTTCTCGGCTGTGGCACCCAGACTCTGGAATGTACTTCCCAGAGAGACATGCCTGGTGCCAAGTTTATACTCTTTTCGGTGCCAGGTCAAAACCTTTTTATTTAAACAGTATTTTAAAATTTAACAGCTTTTAAGTTTAGTCGCTTTGTTTGTTTTGTGATTGTTTTGTTCTGTTCTATTATTTATTGAAATTGATGTTTTTAATTGTCTTTTTAAATATTGTAAGCCATCCTGAGATCTTGTATAATAGGATGGCATACAAAAGCTTTAAAAAATAAATAAATAAAGGTGTTCATCTGTGAGTTCAGGGTATTTGCAAAGTTCTCCAACACCACACTTTGAACACATCCATCTTCTTCCTGTCAGCTTTCTTCACTGTCCAGCTTTCACATCCGTACATAGTGACTGGGAATACAATAGTGTGAAATGTCCTTACACTAGATCATCTTTTCTAGTTCCTTTATTGTTGTCTTTGCAAGTCTCGGTCTTTTAATTTCTTGGCTGCAGTATCCATTTGATGACTACTACATAAACATACTCCATAAACCTGAAACTGTCTAAAATACTCAATGGACCAGATCAAATTGGTTATAAATGCTGAAAGCGTAGGGCAGAGTGAATTTGCTAGTTTTCAAGGTGTCACAACATACTTTACTTTAAAAAAAATAGACTAGTTAGGGCTATCCTCTGGGGGTATTATGTATTAAGATAATACATGTGAAATACTTTGGACTGTTCACAGCATTATTGAAATTTTAAATATTTATGGTACTAACCTAGTAAAGAAGTCATTGCTATGGCCTTGCTTTGTTTAGGCTGAACACGTGTAACAGTCCTAAATTTTTTGGCTGTAATGGGAAAAAGATGTATATATCCAGACTTCCTGCTTGTAATTTTAAGACCAATTCTATGTTGCCCAAGAAAGATGAATTGGTTTTTGCTTTATCTCAATAGTCATTATGGTCTATATATCCATAATGCTAGCTGGATGTGGAGAATTTCCTCTTGTATCTGCGGTTACAGTTCAAAAAAGAAAAAGAAAAAAGAACGACGAGTGGGCTGTGGGCTGATTATTTAGTTAATTAAGTCATTTTACTCTGTTCTTGGCTCAAGGGGCTCCGAGAACACAGCTCACATGTGCTTAATTAAAAGAAGTCGGGCACTGTTGTCGGCTTCCAATTTAAAACATACTAAAGAAAAGGGAAATTGCTAAACCTGCCCATATTTTATTTCCTTCGCAAATCCGTTTTAGTAATTACGCGGGAGAAAGAGGCGGCAGTTCCCCGCACAAATGCGCGGCCATCTGTCCATGGCTGCTCTGTCTCAGTGTATTAATGAAGAAATTAGGCGGTGGGCGAGAGGCCGGAGGAAGGAAACCAGCCGCAACAGGTGTGTGTGCGTGTGTGGCACGCAGCGCAACTCCCCTCCGAGGGTCGGGCAGCGAGGCGGCGATGAGTCAGAGGTGGCGGAGCTTCAGGCCGCGCGCCCTGGGCATAAATAAGGAGTGGCAAGCGCAGGCGGCATTTCGGCGCGCGTGGTGGAAGCGCACGAGGCCATTTGGGGGCTCCTCGCCTTGCTGGTGGCCACCGCTTTCTTTGGGCGCCGCCGAGCCGGACGAAGGGACGACGACAGAGCAGAGTCTCCCGGGGCGAGCACGAGGGCGTGACTTGCCATGGGGGCGAAGAAGCTGCTGCCGCTGCTCCTGCTGGCGCCGCTGCTCCTGCTGCACTGCGCGAGCGCCCAGGAGGAAGAAGCGGTGAAGCTGTGCGGCCGTGACCTCGTCCGCGCGGTCATCTTCACCTGCGGAGGGTCCCGCTGGAAGAGGCTCTCCTTGCAACAGCAACAGCCGCTGCCGCTCGGCAGCGCGAGCGCCGGTGAGTACGAAGGCGCAGCGCCAAGCAGAGCAATTGGCGGGAAAGGCGCGGCGCATTGGCGCGCACGCTCTCCTTGCCTCGCAGTAGCAGTCGCGGGCGGGAAATGAAGTGCCAGTTGCTTCCCAGTACTGATACTAGGCTTGCTCTCTCTATACTGGGAGTCTCAAACTCTAATGCAGCTCCTGTACTTTGACCAGGCCTGCAAGGAACCTAAATGTTCTGGACGATCCCCACCCCCGTGGTGGAATTTCATCTAGTTTGCAAGCCTTTCAAAACAAAATTGCAAACTTTGAAAACTGTTTGTAATAATAGTAAAATTAAGGGAGCGGGTCTCTGCCCAGCCCGACCCTTACAAGGTATAGGCCTGGTCTTGACCGCAGCAGTCAAACATGGGATGAAGAGAGTGGAGAAAGGGGGAAAGAAAGAAAGTTGAATCTCCCGCTCTTATGCAACCAATGCAGATCGCTTCTGAAGCAGGTCGATTTATGTAGATTTACGAACCTGGCTGGTTCCTTTCCAGCATGGCTGTTGGCCATACACATTCATTGCCTCGTGAAGTGAACACCATTTTTCTTCTCTCTCTCACTACTGCCAATTCTGGGGCAGGAAAAAAATAGTCTGGACTTGTGCACTTAGGCACAACACCATCGTGATTACCAAAAAATAAAAATGGAGTGGGATTCTGATGACTTGATACTAAAAACACTAAGGGTATACTTTTCTGATCTCCAAACATTTTCTGGAGGACCATTGGATTATTCAGCTGCCCAGCCCTGAAATCCTGAAAACTTGGAGTTGGGAGTCCAAAGGCTGCGTCCCCACCCTTGCAGCTAACATGGGGAGAACTGCCCTAGGTGCCTCCCATGAGGCTGTACATGAGCCAGGTGGCCAGAGACGGGAGCTGATGGCTTACATCCATTCCAGCCTCCTTCCCTCATTCTCCCCAGCACTTTGTTTAGCTGCCTGAAAACGGCTGTCTAGATAAAAATAAGGGTACGAGGAAGGATGGGGGCCATGGAGAGGGCTGCTACCACCCCATCAGCGTTTGGATGCACATGGTCCTCCAAGTTCGAAGACTTGCATGCATTGCGGGCAGGGCCCTTAATATAGAACTGAACCCTTAAATCTAGAACATCAGTTATTGGGCAGATTATACATGTGATAAATTAAACAATTACATTTACTTGAGAACAAGCACAATTTTGTTGTGGAAAGGAATGTTTTTAAAGCACCTGAAATCATCCTATGGTTTTTCTACTTAAAGAATTTATTCAGTGCTCATTATTCCCTACTCACAGCTGTTTATGAGTTCATGAACCAGTATATTGATAAGTATTTTCAGAGCGGGGATCATGCAGAATTTAATTATAAAAAGGACCCCTTCTCCTGTTTTTCTCATTTGTGTATTTATACTATTTCACTATACCAGAATGCCATTTAGAGAATATGTAACAGGAAAGCATTTGGATCTCAATTCTGTGACAAGGAGAGCAGCAGATTAACAATAACCACTCAGTCTTATCATAATAAAACCAGTTGAGAAATGCAAATGTTCCTTGGAAGGTTGTCTAAAATGAGAGGATGGTATCCCTTACCTAAAAGGCGAACATTCAACAAGATGCTTTAGCAGTCTAAAAATATGGCTGCAGATTATTGGTAAACAAGCAAAAGAAAAGCCTACAGGTGACCCTTTATTCATAAGGCTTCATGATTGTAACAAATGGTGCTTCTAGGGTATGAGTTACTTGGACATGCTCCTGGTTCCAAGTGGAAAGCCAAAGAACAACACCCTTGCCAAGGATTTTATAAAGTTCCTCTCTCCCTCTGTCTCAGAGGCGGTCAGTGTGCACAAGCGAGCCCTATTTCCTGGGACACAAGGAAAGGAAAGTGAGAAAAGTTCTAGCTATTCAAATTAACCAGCAAAATTGCTTATCATATGTAGCTCAATGGTGAAAAAAGGATTTCACGAAGCTTGGTAACTGTTATTCTCATAACTTCACTGAGATCCTAGAAGATTCTTACTGCAGTTATACCTAACAAACATCTGTAGCTAGCCATCTAATTTCACATCTTTCACATCCACCTCCTTTCAGTTAGATAAGGCTTTACCATTTCCTACCCTTCAAACCCCTACCTGGACTTTACAGGGATCAAAATCTGGGTCCCATATTCCTAGGAGCAGCAGCTGTCTTAAGAACTTTTGCTGAGAACATTATTTGTCTTTAAAAGTTTTAAGAGCATGTTCCAATGTGGCTGCCCATAACCCTCTGATCTCGGAGGACAATGGGCATTTTATTAAGGGCAGAAGGAAAGCATAGGAGAAAATAATCCCTGAGCTGCTTCTGCCATATCACAGCAGAACCCAATTCCTCTCTTCCTTGCCCTCCCAGAACATCTTCCCAGCACCAGCTTTGAGGTGGTCTTGGGACCTTGGAGTCTCAGCTGGCACCCTTCTTTCCATGCCTGTCGCAAGGGCAGAGGGAGGATGCTCCACATTTAAATTCTCAGCTTTGAGGGCTGAGTTGGACTCCAAATTTTCCTCCAAAGCCAGCCAGCATCTGTCGGCCACAGGACTGTGACCTAAGGATGGAAATATATTTGGCAGATATGACATATGGGAAGACAGCATTTATTTGTCAAATGCAGTTCAGATTATTCTTTATGTTGCACTGAAAAATTACATAAGCATCCCAAGTAATATTAAAAGAAACTGACATCCTGGGAAGTTAGCTGACATTTTAACACCAAGTAACCTTTTGATGGAATATTTTATTTTAACAGACTTTGTACAGAGTAGCAGTGACAAAGGACCAGAGAACATTAAGCTGCAGCCAGGCATGGATCCTAAATTGGAGCAACTACAAAGTGACAGTCAACCAGCTGGACAACAGTCACTGAAAGATTTGTTTAATTTATATGACAGCTATAATGAATATGTTCCTACTTTGGGTAACTTTAATGAATACATCCATCAATTAGGGGATGCCTCCCGTAAAAGCAGAGATGGAACTGGGCAGGCCATGGACTCCGTTCACTTTCCTTGGATCAAATATCCTCAAAGAAAGCGTGACATCTCTGGGGGAATAGCTGAGGTGTGTTGTAAATGGGGCTGTACCAGAAAAGAGATTGGTGCTCTATGTTAAAAATGCAGTATTTCTGTATTTAATGTTGAGGAACAGTTCTATTTAATTGAATATTGTATGCAAGAAAAAGGGGCTTGATGAGTTTTAATTAATTTTGTCTCCAAGTAAATGAAGTGATGTAGTAACCTTAATACCCTCCCCCACAAAAAAATTAAAATCACATTTTGTGCAGAATTTTATTTGTTTCATTTTACTAAAAGTGTTCCGCTTTCCATCTTCTAATTGCTGTAAAATATGTTGATAAAACATCTCCAGTACTATTGGTAGAATTTGAACCTTTAAATTAAATGTTCTGTCATCTTACATGAATGTTGGATATATTAAAATAATGGCTGCCGTTAATAACCCGGCCAGGGAATTGGATCTAATCTGAGCCATGTTACAGGATGTCCTCTTGATTTCAGTTGCACTCTGCTTAGACATGGCTAATGTCCAATTGATTTCATGGGATTTATTCTATTCATGACTAAATGAATAATAATACTATACACATTTACCTGTGAGTAAGTCCTATTGAACTTAATGGAATTTACATAGCTTAGCTCAATAAAAACCTCAATAAAACTAAGTTTTCCTATATTATCTGAGGATTGGAGAATGAAATGCATTGGTTACAAACTGCACATACAAGTGAAGGTACTTGTTCAAGTACATATAAAATACATGTATATTATATGTATTTACATGTAAGAAATTCATTATTTCAGTGTTGTGCATGTCAGAAGTCTCCATTAAGATTTCAGATATGCAAACATTAATACAGAAGTTTATGGCTGATTTCTTTCTTTTTGTTTTGAAAATAAAAATGGTTCATAACAATGAATTCCCTGCAGGGTTTTGTATGAGCTCTATAAGTTTATATCCCAGGGAATATGCATCTCAATTGACTGCACTTGTAATATTCCCAACAACTTCTGTATGGCTCCTTGTAGGAGGGCTGACCACTCTTAACGCAATCACTTTATTGATTAGTTCATCCAATGCAAGGGTTGTAACGTGTAACACAATTGTGACATATACTGTGGAAGGAATTCTCTTTTTTAGTGTTGAGACTGTTAAAAGTCTTTATCTTCTGCACCAATTCCAATTTACTAGTCACCCTTAGATGGGACTACATTTCTCAGTTAAGTCTTGCTGCATGAAATGGTATTTCACAATACTGAACATCAATAAGCAAATCTATAAATGCATTTAGTGCAAGTTGCCGCAGTGCCTTAGCTGGATCAGAGCCATAGTACTGAAGTATTAAACATCTGCCCCATGGTATTAAACATTTGCACCCATCACAGTCCGAAGCAAAAGTACAATGGGAAGAAAGCTGAAAGAGTTGCAGCAGACTAATATGGTCACTTGCTACTTTGACATCTTTCTTTGTGACAGCCTTTTGGGAACTGGTTTGCCCCTTACTCCTTTGAAGCAACAAACAGTCTCTCTGCATAAGAGCTCTTTATTTCCAGGATACAGCTAGCAAACTGTAGCCTCCAGAAAATGAGGGTTTTGTGCCTGAACAGAGTGATACCTTTAACCCAAACTGGAAACTTTCTGAGAACCTTCCTCTGCAGGAACCCTGGGCTCCAGTCCTCTGGGCGGGCCACTGGGAGAAAAGCCTGGATCTACACAGGCCTTCCAATTGGTTAGCTCCTTTCTCCTGACACTGAGTCATGGGGTCAGGATGGGACCAGGCTCATCCAGCTCCTCTCCCATGTCCCCTTTGCATTTCCAAATCCGGTGTGTTCCCAAGGTCTACCTGAACAGCTGAGGCAGCAGCCTTGAGATAGTTTCACCCTCTTCCACCATATTTAAGCCCCCTCTTCTCATTCCCCAGTCCTCATCTGAAGAATCAGTGCCACCTGATGCAAGAAGGCGCACCAAGAATAGCTACCTTCATTCCCAACACAGCCTTTACTAATACACCATTCATCCTCCCATTCAGTAACACACAAAATTCCAATCTACAGTTTACAACTATAGACAAAAGACAAAGGGGATGAAGTAAGAGTGGGTGGAAAGACAATAAACTGACCTACATTAGACAGTTGGAGAGAAGAAAATAACAGACTGGGTAAGCAAACCTTTTCAACAAGCATTACATATATATGAAATATTTTTATTTTACTGTAAGGTTTTGTTTAGCATCAGCTTTAATGATGGCCTATTGAAAATATTTGGTTTTGTTTAGCATCAGCTTTAATGATGGCCTATTGAAAATATTTGGTTAGAAAGCAGGAGGAACATAATTGGAAGAGGAACGATGAAGTTTGTCTTTTATATCTACAAAGAAAATACTGCAAAAAGAAGAAGAAAGATTACCACCCTGCTTCTCAGCTAGCCACTGGAGGAGGGGATGTAGCTTATTCTAATTATAAATACTTAAATATGATTCAAAGTTTTAACTTGCCATATTATACATAGAAAGCAAAAGATTCTGCAGTCAGTCCTTCAGACTTCCATTCTTCAAACGAGCTACTGATCAAATGCAGAAATAGGGCTCTGGAAATAGGAAAGAATGAAAGCGAAGGCCTTTCCTTATATTATGAGGCCATAATGATCTGAAGATAAATTAATCTGTGCATTAAAAATCTCAGATCCAAGTAATTAAAAAAGGAAACTGGGTGAGGAACTGAAGGTTCAAGGGGGTTGGCAGAATCTATACACACAGGCAACCCAGTTCACACAGTGCTGGAAGGTGGTAGTATAAGTATACAGAGATGGAGAAATGAGGAGGGGGTAGTGCAGGCTGCCAGCAGCAGAGGGGCCCTCCCAGCAGTCACTGCAGCTGAACTCGAAAGGCACAGGGGGCTAAGAGGGGCCAAAGCACCCCCTGGCATTCTGTTAACTGCATTATTAGCAGAAAAGTGCACCAAAATCTGGAGGATGACTATCCTAGACAGAGGTAGCTAGAAGAAGCAAGTATGTAGAAACTTTAGAAAGCATGGTGATACGTTTAATAAAGGATGCCTATTAATTACTAAGATATTGATAATTGGACAAGATAAAGATACAATTATTTGTCTTCTCTTTTCTTTATGGTGGATTGGGCTTGGTTAAGATAATTTTATTTCGTATGACTTTAAAGTCAGTTCCACATTATATGACTGTACTCTAGTAATAGGAATCTTTTATAATTTTATTTCCCTATAATAGTAATATTTATAATATGTCAATCGATAGAAATGTTCAAATAAGCAAAACAATGGCCTTTAACAATTAAGTGGGTGTGTAATGAACAAGGTACAGCAGGAGACACCTATGACTGTCAGGAGCAGGTGCCTTGCGGCAGCTCCCCCTGGTGGCGTGATGGTGAAGAGCAGCTTGGTTCACCCTGCAAGGACAGGGATCAGGTCTATAGGTCCTTGCAAGGACTGGAGCTTGTGTGGCCATGCAGTGCAGCTGGGAGCTTTTCTGCCCTGCTCAGCTTGGTTGCAATAGCATGGGCCTTTGTGGTGGCTGCACTCTCTTCCTGATTCTAACTTCAGGCATGCTTTGCACTTGACTTCTGCCACCTCTGATCTTACCTCTGGTCCAACCCTGTTTGCCAGGTACCTGATCCTTGCCTTTATAGCTGGTCCTGATATGCACTTCTGTGTGTTTAATCCTTGCTGGTTCCTTTCTTTGCCACAAGTTCTGCCATACTTTGTCTCCTCCTGACCTTGCCTTAGCCTTTGTTTCTACCATACCTTGTGGGCATCTGATCCTTCCCTGCTCCTTGGCTTTGCCTTGGAACTGCCACAGCTTGTCAGGATTTGATCCTTACAGGTTCTTGACCTTGCCTTCACCCCTGGACCTACCATGACCTATCAGTATTTGGTCCTGACTCTGTCTTTGATTCTGGCCTCACTGCGGTTTGACAGTATCTTACCCCTCCTTGCACACGGCTTTGCTTCTGCCTCTAGCCAGAGTGTATAAGACTGGGATCGCCATCCACTTCCATCACCCATGATCCTGGGTGATGCCTGTATCCTAGATGTGAATCCTGGATGTATCTGTGAACATGAGAAAGACGCTTGCATGCTTCACATCAAGCAGGAAAACCAGAAAGATGCCAACGGAAGAATGGGTGGTTTGTTTTGTTCTTTGCAGATAGAGTTGTTCAGTACTGCCTTGGCTTGTACTTCAATATTGGGGCAGCTGAGATCAAAAACCTCCATTCCCATATAGCAAGGAGTCTTTGATCCCAATGATAAAAAGTGGGTGAGAAACCAGAGGCACACGGTGGACTGCAGCATGTGGGCAGCAAAGATCACAGCAAGGTGGGTTGCTGGACATTATATCAAGCTAGGCAGGTGAAGGTGGAATCAGCACAGCTGCCCTACAGTCACTGCCGTGGTGCTCAAAGGCACGGTGTGTGTTTGCTGGGAGTCAGGGGCAAAGATGGGGCAGAAGCAGCTCCTGTGGTTGACGATAGCCGCTGTGCTAGTAGAGATGAGCATTCAGATCACTGCAAAATCTGGAGCAGAAGTACTCCAGAGTAAGATAGCTAAAAGAGATTTCCAGTTGTGTGGTATCGACCTGCAAAGGCAGATACGCTTTATTTGTGGAGACAGTGACTGGAAGAGGAGATCCCTCCAAGCGGAAAGTTATCCACAAGTTCCTGGCAGTCGGAATGCAGGTGAGTGATAAACAATTACTGATCTATCCACCAACATTTCATTACCCAGAAGATGTGCTTTTATGTCTTTTGCTATAACTGGGAGGACCTAAATTGAATCTACTTCATCTATCAGTGGAGCAGTTGTGAGGGCAACAGGGTGGTGAAAAAGATCTTCATATGCAGTCAATATTTCTGGATATGCAGATTTGGCTAGGGCGGGGAACACGCAACATTTTGATTTGCTCCTGGTGGTGAAAGAGGATGCTGTTCGCACTGGGCGTAGGGGACCAACCCCGAGAATCTGCCTGTGGAAACTCCTATCCTAGCATCAGCCAGAGGGAGCATGTAACACCTGCGCAAAGACAGCCACAATGCATTCTGGCTTCCTTGTACAAATTCAAGTCCTGCTTTTGATTTTTGGACATGGAATCTCTGAAGTGCTGTCTTGCCTCGCATGAAGACTCAGCTCCCTGGACTTTCAGATTTCTCACTTCCCTGAAGTAACTCCATTAGGAATAAGGCCTTCCCATTCACATGATTAAGTATTCTGCCCAGCCTTTCACAAACTCTGGCTGTACTTTTAATCTCTAATACATTTTATGCAAGACTGAGCAGTCATGATGCTCTTACTGGGGAACCAAGAAAGTCTTTACATGGAAAGAGTTCTGGCTTTAGTTCAGGTTTAGCTTAGCTTAGCTCGGAAAGAAAGAAGGGGAGGTGTGTGTGGTACAAACACAACAAAACGCCAAAACAAAAACAAAAACAAAAACACCCCAAAAAACCAGTTTCTGCCAACACATCGCTACTTCACTTTGGCCACTTCCAGATAGTCATGCTGAAATAGGATTAGCTGCAAGTGTTAAGCATAGGCTTACCATGGTACAAGAGTGCAAAACACATCCTGATTGGCTCAGTGGGGAAACCCAGCTAACCATCTGGAGGGGAGAATTGCAGGGTGTGGCAACTGAGGGCCTCCCTGAGGCGATTCTTGGACTGGAGATCCTAGATCATGGCATTAGGCACCGACAGGATGATTGAAGCCCACCCAACAGCAACCCTTTCCCACGCAGGCATGCTGGGCAGGTTAGGCCTTCCGTACAGTGGAAGTGGGGAAAGGATAGCAAAGTGGGGTTCCTCTGCTAGGTCGTTTCCCTGCCTGCTTGGAGCAGAGAACCCTCTTCTGATGGCTTTTCTGCATAACAATCTTCCACCTCACTTTCCAGCCAACTCGTGACTATGCCCCTTCTGCAGAAGGGAGGAGTGCTCACTCACACCCATGTAAAGTGAGTCAAGACTGGAGGGGATGGGTTGGCCCAGGCTGAGCTGAGGCATACCTAAACACCCCAGAGTCAAGTATGTAGAGCATGGGTCCTCAAACTATGGCCCGGGGGCCGAATCCGGCCCGCCATGCCCATTTGGACCCGTCTCGCACATGCCAGCCACTGCCCATCTCACCCTGTGCACAGGGAGGCAGTGGCTTGCTTGCTTGGAGAAAACACTCTCCAAGCGAGCAAGCCACTGCCTTGTGCACCTGCCCCGAGGTGTGTGCCCGCCCCCGCCTCGCCTCGCCTCCCCTCACCGCGCACCCTGCCACCGCCTCAGCACGCACGCCTGCACACGCCACCGCCGCACTTGCACACGCCCTTGCTGGCGCGTGCACACTGCCAGCACCACCTTTCTGGCCTGCGCTCGGCACCGGCACCTTTCAAGTGGCACCCTGGTGAAAAAGTTTGAGGACCCCTGATGTAGAGTAACCATTTGTTCTGGTCTTGTCTTTTATCTTTATGGAATTAGGTCAAATGGCTGGCAAAGAAGGCCTGAAGAATGTGAAGTTTCAGTCAGCTCCAGCTCCTGAAGTAAACGGGCTTCATGATGACCATGAACAGCTTTCTGAACCAACCTCAGGAAATTCCCAGGAATTAAAAAAACACATTTTTACAGCTGTAGATGGTGCTGCTCAGCAGCGCCCTGATTCAGTTGTGGGGACCAGTCAGATTGGATCAGATTTCTCACAGGACAAACAACCCATAAAAAAAAGTCAAACATATCAGGAGATGGCAGACAAGTGCTGCAATGAAGGGTGCACTGACCAAGATATTCGTCAAGTTTTCTGTCCAGCTTAAGATTCTCTTTTACACATTGTGCACATACTGCTTTAGTTTCTCTGCTGCTAGAAAATTCTGTATGTGCAGAAGAAACTGGGATATTTCTGAATTTATTCATGCTCATTGCAGTTTGTTGTAGAAATGTGAGATTGTGTATAACCATAGCATTGTGTCTTTGAAGTATCAAACATTTTTCTAGTGCATTTGCCAATACCATCTGTTCTCGATTCTGTCCTCAAATCTCTACTGAATTTTCTGAGAATGTTTTAGAGTGAAAGGAGAATCTCCACTTTTAATTAAAATGGTATAACAACTTATAATTTCATTTCTTTGTGTTTAATCCTTTACAGTACTCAGTTATTTAGCTCAGTTTCCAGAAATGAAGCACAGGCGATCCTGCTTAAAGGGATTCTCAAAGCAGGCCATGCGGCAGAAAAGCATGAGCTGCCCACCAGCCTTGTGTGGAAGCATGCTGGCAGGGAGCTTCCCTGCTCCTTCCCAGCAGTCTCGGACAGGGAAAGTCGGGGCAATGTCCAACTCACGTTGTCCTCAAAGTACAGCCACACCGTCTGGCTGCTGGTCGCCAAGCAGAGTGTTGTGGTTCTGTAAATCAGAGGCAGGGAGAAGTTCCAGATGTGTAAGGCCCTTGTTTATTGGAATGGAGCAAGGGGTTCTGTTTCGTTTTGTGTCATGTCGTGTTGTGTTGTGTTTAATACATACTATTGTATGGATAGCCCTTCATCAAAAAATTATATTTCTCAAGGGCATATAGCTGGATCCGATGAAGGTCCACCTGGTCTAGTTTACACCGTACCCTCCTGGGTGGAAAACCCATAAGCAGATCCAAGTGCAGCGGCTCCTCCCACTCCTGTCATTAAAGAAGAATCCTGTTTTTTTTTTTTTTTTTTTTAAATAGGCACCCATTACAATAGCTTGTATGCCTTTCCAGTTAAGACCAATATCATCTAAGACTGTAAGAACACCCCATGGCATATGAATACTTATACACTGGATTCGCACAACATGTTAAACCTACTGGGAATTTAAACAGTACACTTGTCTCCCAAGGATACGGCAGGACCACTGAGATGTTTGTGAGTCACAGCAAACCATTTAAACTCTGGCCATGGCTTGAATTTCAAAGGACTGGCCTCAGTGTCATTTCAGACTCACCCAGGTTTTGGAAAGTGCCAGGGCCACATGAATATTCCCTAAAACCAAATTACAAGGATTCTGCTGCACAGTGTGCTTTCTACAGCTCCACCTTTAGAAAATAAATTTAAAAACCCAGCAGGTTACAAAGTTATTCTTCATTTCTTACCTTTATAGGAAGAAATAAAGGTTATACTAAGAAATACATGTTAAAGGTTGTCAGAAGTCCTCAAACTGAAAAGTTGAAAATATTTCGACAATCTCTCTAGAGAGTCATATATTCATCACGTATCTTTTCATAGCTATATTTGCATCCATCTTAGTATGTAAAAAAGATGGATGGTGAGATAATTTTGAAAAGACCTTTCTTGAACTACATACTAGCTCATGGAAAGCATAGTTTCTCCATCCAATAGGTAGAAGTGTAGGGCAAATGAGAATGTATCAAACCTTAGATGAGAATGATGCATGAACATTAAGAGAGTATCTTTTTCTGAGTAACATGAAGGCAATGTTACAGGGCCTTATTTCACTGCAAGACAACTTGCTTGGCTTTAATTCATTGTCCTTCCAAGACGATCCTTCTGCATGCCAACCAGTTCCAACAAAACGGTTCGTTTCTGAGCAACGACCACAATATTACTGCAGCTTCCCAAAACAATCAGTGTTCTGAGTCTCTGAAGTTAATCTTAGGATCCAAATGTATAACTATGAATATTATCAAAATGACATTTTTATAGCACAAAACCTATGACATGTAAAACTATATCATGGCATGATCAAGCCAAAAATTAAAAAAACAGGATACAGAAATAGTTCTCTTTCCTGTAATCTGAAACAAATTTCCAGAGAACACTTATTTTGGGGGTTTTCCAGTGTACATTAAATAAAGCAAAAAATGTCTTAAAACCAGAAGCATAAGAACTATGATCTTGTGCATACAAGTCCTAACGTTCTTTTTCATTCTCACTATAATAGTAAAGATGTACTAATAGAAGAAGAGGAAGAAGAGAATGAGCAGGGAATGAGTATGAAATCTACCTCCCCCAAACAATTATATACATGAACCAAAGATATTTTGACCATAAGTAACATTTCAACATCTTTGTTGGTGTAATAACCAAACCAAAGAATACAAAAATAAGCAAGCTTTCAAGATCTTTTAAGCAAGATGTTATAAAAAAGTAGAGAAGATAATAGGGGAAGGGGGAAAACTGGCTTGAGGGTGAGTCCCAGAATGAAATGAGAGGAGACAGGACTACAGGCAATCAAATTAAGAGATGCAGGCACTGTGATCTTTAGAGGAAGAACCTGCTGTTGGGCTACAGAAAGGGGGAGATGTTAATCGCATCACCTCCATAGCGTAGCTAAAATGTCTGCAGAACCCTCCTTGTCCATTTCATGGAACATTACTCATAGCCAACATGGCTACCTTTGCCTTCTGTGGAACAGGGAGAAAACTAGATTCAGCCATTCTTCAGTAGGGGCATGTAATGCAGGATAAAGATTTCACACCTTGAAAAGCTGAGGGTTTAAACATTGGTGCTTCATCTCCTCTGAATGGTAGGTCTTACTACACTGGCCTTTTAGAGTTCTTTGAGAATGTCAAACAACACATGGACATGGGTGATCCAGTGGACACAGTTTACTTGGACTTCCAAAAGCCTTTTGACAAAAGCTCTGGCACCGTCGTTACTGGTTTTTCGGCGCCAGGTAAAGACCTTTTTATTTAAACATCATTTTAATTGTTAAAACATATGATCTGGCCTGGGCAACTTCTTCTTCCTTCTCTTTCTCCTCCTATATTTTTATTTTATACTGATAATTTTAATTTTGTATTTGTAAATCAATGTATTTTTTGTATTTTTATATTTAATGGTAATTTATT